ATATGTATATATATAAAATTAAAAAAGTTTTTACTTCGAGATATAAGTATATCTGTTATATTATTTCTATTATTTTTTATTTCTTACTAATCTTTCGTTAGGATAAATTGGAAGGATATGTTCAACATGAAATCTATTTGCTCGTGGCTCTGACTCATTGCTAATATTATTACATAAACTCTTTCAAGTGTATATAACACAGTATATTCGTACCGTTCTTAGAAGTTAATTTGCATGACGACCAACGGCGACCTGAAATCATAAATTTACAAGATAATCGGTCAAGACGTTAAATTCACTTTAATTCGATCATGTGTAATAATAATAACAACAACAGCGATGAATTTAATCAAGTTATGATTTTCTTTATCTTTTTTCTTTTCTTTTTTTTTTTTTTTTGTTTTCAATTCCGTGAAAATCGATTCTACCGACAACCGATTATAATTTAATTTCTGTAATAAAACACAAAAAAAAGTTTTGATAACTGTTAATCATTCTTTTTGAATTAAACCTTTTGAGAAATTTAATAATAATTCAACACGTTATTGGTAATAAAATAAAAATATTGCTTTCATTTGTTTTTTTTTTCAATACATATTAAATGTAAATAAGAAGCGAACACATATAAAAAGCGAGAAAGAAAGTTTTGACCTATCGGGGTTATCGCAAATGAACCTAATGCTCGAACACTTCACCATTACTACAAGATTAGACGTTAAAAACGTATGAACGTATTTTCTTATTATCTTATTTCTTTCGTAATGATGTGATTCCATTGAATATTTATTACGATGACGATAAATTTTAATTCTAATGCATATTGCTATTCGAAGAAAAGAATAAATATAAAAATAGGAAATAATTGTGTGAATTACGAATAGAGACACAATTAATCTATGTTCGAAAACAAATGACACTATAATTTTTAATCTTTTTTTTTTGTTTCTTTAGAAATATATAATAACATTTTTCTTATACATAATAAATTATCGAATAAATGCTAAATGTATAAACGTTTTTAATACAGAAAAACACACACACATATATACATATATATATATATTATACTTTCAAAATTAAACGAGTAAAATATCTTACAGCAAGTACTTTTATTTGAGATCTCGATGATCTCATCGTTCATCTTGATAACATATTCGGATGGTTATTTCAAATTATCTCGTTAGAAATAACTCTTCACGTCTACACGTTCTATTAGAACGTGTAAGTATACAATACGTTGCACGTGTGTTTAATCATTCCATACGCGTTATAAGGAAGAATTAAAATCAACAACAAAAAAAAAAGAAAAAAAAGAAACAGTAAGTTATCGATTTGAACGATGACGAATATCCACCTCGATTATATTATTTTGTTTTTTTATACAGATCACCAATGATCTAAAGAGGAAAATGTTGAGAATAGGGGAATTTTTCTTTCCTTTTCAAACGAATATTATTAATGGATAACGTATCTGAGATATGATAATACCATAAAAAATATATTTTAATTATAAGGAAAAATATATCTTCTCCTATTATTGAAATGAAAAATCAATTTAAAAAATTCGATGTTTTTTGATTCAAGGTTGCAAAATAATTTGTTTCTTTTTTTCCTCTGTTTGTTTGTTTGTTTCTTTCTTTCTTTTATTTAATTTCGTAGAAATTTGTATGCTTCCCGACACCTCGAGGACCTCTAACCTTGTATCTACGCATACATACAACAACACACATATACATATATATATATATATATATATATATATATGTTATATAGCTTTGTTAACATATACATATAAAAGAGAGTGGTACTCGAGCGAGTTATGAGAGATTGTAGAGAAGGTTTGACGTAAATCCATTGGTCTCCCCACTTCAAGTTTCAAAGATCATACGAACATAAGAAAGTCCTTGACAAGTAGCTCGGATCGTGCAGTCTGAATCTTTCTGCGTTAAAGGTAAGATCTCGTTTTAATATAATACTTTATTTAAGATTTCTTTTTTTTTCTTTTTATTTGAACTATAATTAATATTAATCTCATACGCGCGTGCAAAGGTTTCCCGAATTTGTATTTCTTTTCTTTATTTTATTTTTATTTCTCGAAATTCGATGTTTTCAATAACAAAATATAATAATATCTGAATTTGATTAATTTCACATATTATAACGAGATATTATAATCTGGATTTTTCAATTATTTTGTAGAATAAAAGACCATGAAGAAGACGTTACTTTTCACGGCATTAGCCGTGTTTGCTTTCGAGGCATCACTTGCCGTTGATACTCATGAACATAACAAGGTCGTGTGTTACTGGAACGTTACATCTTTCGAAAGACAAGGTAAATATTATTTTAACAATATAATCAGCGAATAAAAAAAAGAACAATCCATTTATAAAATTATTCGTTTTTTCTGTTCATTTTAGAATATTAAATAATATTTCTTGTTCGCGTTTTAATTTCAATCATCTGTATAGAAAGTTTTACTTGATTATATAAAAAAACAAAATCTATATAACTTGAAATCAACCAATGGGTAACTTTAATTACAAATAAACGACGAATTAATGATTATTAAAAAAAATAATATATATATATATATATTAAAAGTATATTAATTTATCGTTTAAATTTATCCTAAAAAACTAATCAACAACTTTCAACGTACCTTTTTACGTTAATGATAATAATCTATTGAGATGACACGCGAAATCCGTGAAAGGAACTTTCTCCGCCAATGACGTAAACTTCTTTTTTATCGTTATTACGTCCGTGACATAGAAAAAAAAGAAAAAAAGAAAAAAAAAGAGAAAATCAAAATTCGTAATTTATATTACGATATTATTTTAAGGTCCTGGAAAATTCCAAATCGAGGATGTTAGACCTGCATTATCACTTTGCACACATTTGATATACGGATTTGCTGGTATCAATCCCGATACGTTCGAAGTTATCCCGTTGAATCCAAATTTGGATACTGGTGCTGGTTACGCTTATTACAGATTGAGTACACAATTGAAAAAATCATTCCCAGATCTTAAAGTTTATCTCGGAATTGGTGGAAATGCCGATCCTTATGAGGACACTCACAAATATTTAACATTGGTAAGATATTATCGCGTTGATACTTTCTTTTATTTATATATTTCCTTATATAAATTTATTAAAGAACAAAAAAATAATAATTTTTATAATAATAATGATTAAAAACTTTCCTAATTAACGAATCATTAAAATTGAATGGTTTTACTATGATAAGAAATAATATTACTATAATATTTATCTCTTATCTATTTGTTTTCTTCAACAGACCGAGACCTCAGAGGCTAGATCAAAGTTCATCAATTCAGTGAACCGTATGTTGACCGATTATGATTTCGATGGTATCGATTTAGGTTGGCAATTTCCACCGGTCAAAGTAAAGAAAAATCGCGGTGCATTGAGTTCGTTTTGGCATGGGATCAAGAGGACATTCGGTTATGGAAAATTCAAGGACGAGAAGGAACAAGAACATCGCGATGGTTTTACCATATTGGTTCGTGATTTGAAAACACAGTTGAGGCCTAAAGGAAAGGCACTTACATTGACAGTTCTTCCACATATCAATTCTAGTAGTATGTGTTTTCTTTTTTTATATATATATACAACCTGTTTTCTTGTTTGTTCTCTTTTTTTAATCGTTCGGTTTTCAAATCTCATTACGAATGTGAATTCATTTAATGTTAGTCATCGCACACTCGTGATACGGAAAACTACAAGATGACGTAATTAAAAAAAGAAACCAGGAATATAATTAATATTTATAATTAAATTAAAATGTTCTCTTATCTACAGTTTATTACGAGGCACGATTGTTAACACCGAATATCGATGCAGTACATTTGTTAACATTCGATCAAAAAACACCAGAACGTAATCCAAAGGAAGCTGATTTTCCTGCACCAGTATACGAAAGTTACGGACGTATTCCACAAGACAATATCGATTCGTCAGTTAGGTAAAAAGAATTTCATTAGAATCCTTAGATCGTCAAACACGTAAATATAATATCTAATGAATGTTCTTATCAATGTTGTATGCAGATATTGGCTCGAAAATGGTACACCAGGTTCTAAGATAGTCGTAGGTATTCCAGCATACGCAAGAACATGGAAGCTCACATCTGAAAGTCAAATCTCTGGCGTTCCACCGATAATAGCTGAAGGTCCAGGCGAACCAGGACCTCATTCTGGTATTCCAGGACTTCTATCATACGCGGAAGTTTGCACGAAATTAACTGAAACACATTTGGGACGTTTAAGAAGAGTCAATGACCCATCGAAAAAGTATGGCAGCTATGCCTACGAGCCATACAATTCTGATACTGGAGCAGATGGTCTTTGGGTTGGTTTTGAAGATACCGACACTGCTGGCAATAAAGCTAGTTACGCTAAAGCTAAAGGATTAGGTGGTGTTGCGATCTTTGATCTTTCTTTGGATGATTTCCGTGGTGTTTGCAACGGTGATAAATTCCCGATCATCCGGGGTGCCAAATACAAGCTCTAAGATCAATTCAACATTGTAAATAGAGATTGGAGACTGTGTGTTTGTTGTTTCTGCTGCTGCTGCTACCCCTGCCGCTGCCGCTGTTTTTAAGCGTACAAGATATCGATATATTAATTGTCTTTTTAGTCTCTAGATTTTTAACGATAATCAAAATGTAACGATATTATTCTAATTCTTTTTATTAATATGTACGTACGATTTCTACGATTCTATATTCAACTTCTCTCCGATTAATCAGATTATTCCAATTACTTGATTATAATATTATTCCCCCCTTTATTGTTTTCAATATTATTATATTTGTTTAATGCGTTAGGTTTGTTAAACAAAACAAAACATCAAGATAAGAGGAAGATAAATAAAAACTATCGTAGATTTGAATTGTTATTCATTGTTTGTTTTCTATACCCATGCTTTTGATTGTTCGATTAGGATTATTTATTATTGGATGGGTTGTGTTTTGAATAAAGTTAAATCTTTATAGATAGATGTATATGTTATGTATATATGTATATATATATATACATACATACATATAGATATATTATATTTCGTGCAGTCTATTCGAATAAACACTTTTTCTTTGGCTGTTTACCAAAGATCTCACACTTACAAATCAATCAGACTCGTTAATTATATCAAACGTATTTATGATGAAATAGGAGGATGGCACACGATGAGAGATTACACGGTACATACACGTACAATTAAATTCATATAAGTCGGCCATTGTTTTTCCTTTTTTTTTTCATTTTATTTTCTTTTATTCCCTCGTTTTTTATTTGATTTTTTATTTTTTCAACATTTACTTATACGGATATCAATTAATATTTTACTCTCTCATTTTATATTTATTTATTTATTTATTTATTCTACTAGTAATTATATCGGTAGTGGTAGTTAGTAGTGGTCACATTTACGTGATTACTTCTTCACTGCATATGCATGTGTATGTATATACGTATATATATATATATATATATCTTTTTTGTTTTTCTCTTTCAATTATAATACTTAGAAAATACTGGGCTTGGTATGTAATTTTAAAACAGCTTATTTCTCTATAATACAGGTAGTAATATTGTTAATTAGCACCGTTTAACGCTAATTAAAGTGTGTTTATATTTTATTCAACATCAAATCGAATCGTATGTATTTGATAGGTCACGTGACACCATAAATTAATCAATTAGTCTCAAAAAAAAAAGAAAAACTCGTGCAAAAAAGAAACAATTTTGTAACCAGTGTGATTTGCGAATACTCATTACGAATAAATATCTTTATTCGGTATCCTCATGTACCATCATATGAATTCAATTGATCCGATTTACGTTGTCATTATTTATTCATGTTCAACGGTGCGATAATTCGATACAGAGTTTTTGTTTTTTTTCTTTATTTTTTTTTTTCTTTTTTCTCTTTTTTTTTTTAATAAGGGAAGGGCACTCTTAGATATATATCACGTGTATGTATGCATGTATGTATTATTTATGTATATTATGTTTCTGACTATGATTTTTGCGTGTTTCTTCTCTATATGTGTATGTATATATCATATATAAATATTAATATATACGCGAGGTAAGTCAAAAGTTCCTAAACGTGTGATCCATTACAATTTGATCAATCCAAAAAAGTGATTCCAAAAAGTATCGAAAAAGAATAATTGATTTTGAAAATCACTTAGGAACGGATGGCCCGCCTTGCATATATAGTGCATATATATATATATATATATATATGTAGATGTTTATATATATGTATAAATATTATATACTATATGAATATCGCTAGAACGTACGATAAAATGATAGATCATCTCATATCTCTTCCTTAAATCTAATACAATTCTTATTTTCTCATTTTTTTCTCTCTCTTTCTCTCTCTTTCTTATTTTCTCTCTTTTTTTTTTGGTTTTTTTTTTTTTATTCAGTATCTCTTTGGTGAGAATAAAATAGAAAGAGAGAGAGAGAGAGAAAAAAAAAAGTATAAATTTCTATAATATAGGGGTCAGAATATATTTCGGCGAGGTTACGATGAAAGCATCCGTTTAAACAACGACAAAGTGCGAATTATCTCTCTTATCGTGTTTTTTTAAAAAAGAAAAATGCAAATGAAAAACTATGATCAATGATATATATATATATATATATTTCTTAAGAAATAATCATATTGATTATAGAAGAGAAGAAAAATAAATGCTCGATAACGCGACTTATTTTCATTAATTTCATCGATTCTTACAAGAACGTTCTCCTTTTACGAAATGTTTCAATATATTCGTATCTTTTTTTCTATTTTTTTTTTTTTTTAAATAAACGAAAAAGAGATGATAGTGTATAAATAGGCTCGCTTGTACGTAATAATATTATGATGATGTGTTTTATAGGCCGACGAGTTATTGACAAGATTGGAAAATAATTATTATAAATAAATTTCGTCGTTTATCAATAAGAACGTGAGAACCAGTAAGAAAAAAAAAAACAAAAAAAATAAGTGACGCGTTAGTGTGGAAGGATTATAAATATTCCCTTTGAATTTAGATCAAAAGATACGTTGTACGTATATGATAACAATATATATATATATATTCATATAATGATAACGATAATAAAGAAAGAACGGTATGTTCCATAAATCATTTTTACATGATGGAACACCGTTTAACGTTGTACCTATTATCTTGGTCCACGTTGTTAACGCTAAGCACCTTGAGTAATCTGTCGGTGTCCTTAAAACCGTGTCTGCCATTTTGTTCCTGTTTCATTAACATCATCGTAGCAGTTTTCTTTTTTTTCTTTTTCTTACATCTTTTAGCCTGAGGTAGAGTAAGTTCGAGCATTTGTTCTAATCTAAATCGTATCGGCCATGTTATTTCTTCCTCAACGTGTTCCTCATCCTCGTAAGTATAATCTGACACGTTCGAGGTTCCTTGACGTAATTGTTGCTGTTTTTCTTGTTGTTGTTGCTGTTGCTGTTGTTGTTGTCTTTGAACGAGCTCCTGATGACGTAATTGTTGTTGCTGCAGTTGTAATTGTTGTTGTTGATTTTGATGCTCCTGTTGATGATAAAATTGTTGATATTGACGATGATGTTGGACGGTGTAACCACTTGTAATCAATTTTTTTGGCTGAACGAAAGAATCATGAACGCGTACTGGCCTAGCAAGGGACGATCTTTTTCTTGCTGGTGTCAAATGAATCTGATGATTCCTCGATAAATATTTCATTAATTGGTCATTGCTACGAACGTTGTAACGTCTCGTTGAATCATTGTAGGGTGTTAACATTCTATTAGAATCTTTACTCTTGATCGAACAATTGTCCAAATTAGAGATTGGACGTTCCTTATTGACACTACCATTGATCATGCTCTTCGCATTGATATTCTTGTTACTATTATTACTATTACTACTATTATTATTATTATTTTTGTTACTACTCTTGGCATTATTCTTAGTATTATTATTATTATTATTATTATTATTTATATTACTATTATTATTATTGTTAATATTACTATTATTATTATTGGTAACGGTGTGACGACATTGCTCGGCACACTGGAGACAGTCGTAATATTTTTCTACGACACTTCGGCGCATCGGATTCGCAAAATGGCTGCGAAGATTAGCGCAGTGTTGAAGTTCGCTCGTCATGTTCATGCGAGTGCCTTGATAAGGTTGCTGTCACACCTCTTGAAGGTACATTAATGGACAGAGGGTTTCGTTATACAATACGTCACCCTCTTTACCGATATGCTCGGCCGATCTCACGTCAGCCGCAAATCTTACCATAGCAATGCCATCAACTTCTTCGCCAACTTGAATAACGATCTGTGAACAAATATCACAATTATCATGGGGGGGGGGGGGTCTAATAATTTTGTTAAGTGTATATAGGTATAGTTGAATAATAAAAACATTAATAGATCATTAATTATTGTCTTTTCCTATTTGTTTTTTTTTTTTTTACCTGATCTCTCAATAATGTAAATTGATCTTTTAGTTGTAGGTTACGTGTAACCTGAAGCGTCTTTTGGCCGGATTCAACGCGCATCACATAGGCACTAGGAAAATATCCTGCACGACCACCAAGACATTTACCCTTCCACCAATCTTTTTCGGATTTATCGATTACCGTTACCTTGTAACCGGGCCTAAAAAAATCAAATGACAAAAAGTATATCTTTATTTTATATATATATTATAAAAATGTGTGTGTTAACACTAAAAATTTATCACGTGTGATCAAATGACTGGGTCCGGTTATTTTTGTAAAATATGTTATTTGATTAATCAATCAAATAAATCGCTTCTAGAAATAGTAATAAAAAAAGCTATTACAACAGGACTTTTGTTCTAATAAAAAGAGGAAGAAAAAGAAGAAGATGTTATTTGACAACGTATATTATTTATCTCTAAATAAAATAAAAGTATATTAATATCATTATCCAATTATCTCAAATATCATTCTATAGATATACGTCTCGGTAGATTTAGTGTT